CTCCATCAAATGTTATCCGAACTGATGCTAGTGGATACTCCCCATAAGTTCCATTCCCAAAAGTAACTCCAATCGTCTCCTTCTCTATGTCTTTCAATGCTACAAACTTCCTATCAACCACAGTCCTCGATGCTCCGCTGTCTATCTGAATTCGCTTCACATTGTGTCCATTGATCTTTCCTTCTCCATGCCAAATGACTTCCTCTGCATTCTCTTTGGCTCGTAGAGTTTTCTCCGTACAATTTCTTGCTATATGCCCCTTGCGATTACACTTGTAACAGGTAATCTCTGAAGGTGACTTTCTCTCCTTCTTGTTTCCAGTAGATCCTTCAGTCTTCCTTGGGAACTCCTTTGACCGACCATGATCCTGCTTTGGTCTATTCCTCTGTGGTAAACAACTATGAGCTGTATCATAAGATTCAATAAGCTCTCCAACTTTCTCTGGTGTCTCTGGGTTCTGAGAAGTTACCCAGATTCTCATCTCTTGTGGTAACCCATTTAAAAGCTGCTCTACTGCAATCTTGTTAACTACCTGTTCCATTCCATTCTCTGGTACTAACCATCTCTTCACCAGTTTGACTCCTCTAGCTATCCAATCAGTTGGATCTTGATCTCTTGTCCAAACATGACTCCTGAACTTTCTTCTACATCTCTCTGTGTTGATGTTATAATGCTCCAAAATAGCTTTCTTGACTCCATCATAATCAGTAGTAGTTCCCAGATTGGTACAAACAGTTCTAGCCTTGCCACTTAGTAACGGTGTCAGGCGTAGAATCCAATTTGTCCGATTCACCCCTTGTATCTTCATAATACCTTCGAATGCTTCAATGAAGTCTTGGATATCCTCTGTTTCTTGATATGGTGATATTTTTAAATGAGGACTATTCCCTTCTCTTTCTGCTAGAACTCCTTTCATAATCTCTATCTGCTGCATATGCTGCTCCTGCATGGCCTGTATCTCTTCATAATGTCTCTCTCTTTGTCGCTCCTCTTCTCGACGACGTTCTTCAGCTTGTCTCTGAGCCTCCTCTCTTCGTCGCTCCTCTTCTTGACGACGTTCTTCAGCTTGCCTCTGGGCCTCCTCCCAACGATGTTGCTGCTCCTCCTGAAGCTTTGTTAAACTTGCCAAAGCTGCCGCTAATTGCTCCATCGGATCACTAACTCCTGTAATAAGACTTTCTTCCACTTCAGTACAGTCTTCCGTATCAACTGAAGTATAACTCTCTCTGAAAATATGTAATCCTCGCAACTGTCCTCTGTAGTCGTGTCTTGGTAAGTCCCGTAGAGAATACCGCCCTTGATTCTCTCGACTGTTATCCGACATAAACAGTCACACCAGACACTATAAACTTTAGTCTCTCTCTCTTGCAGAGATACAATAGTGGGTCTTTCCTCTACAACCATTTGAGAACTATCCCACCGCTG